CAACGTCGATGGGCTCCTCCTCCGTATCAGCATCTGAAGTGCGCGGCGCCGCCATCCTCCTGCGCTCCCTGTCAAGCTCCTCGTGCGACTCCCTCAATCTCGCCTCCTCCCTAGCAATACGAGTCTCCAACTCGTTAATGCTGCCGTGATGTCGCTCTCCATGAGGGGCAGACACTCTGTCCTCTCCGGAAGTGTACAATGCAGGCGCAACCCCGCGTGAACCTAAAAGCATGTCCCTGCGAGCGCCGTATCTTAGGATGATCGAGAATGCGATAAGCAGTCGCCAAACTCGGTGCCGGTCTGTGCTCCTCCCTCAACCACGCCTGGTGCGCCGCGAAATCACCCCTCACGCTCTCGTCAACTCGTCGCATTGTGCTCCACGGATGGTGAAATAACTGCTGTGTGTCGGGGCGAGGTGACGACGACGTCGGCACGTGGCCTCTCCCGGCAGCTCTACTTGTGACTGGTGTCGGAGTGCTGTGGGGCACGGTCGGTGGAGGAGGTGTGAGTGAAGTGGTGCGAGCCATGTGTGGAAACCATCGTCGCTCTCCTGAATGACGGTGCAGTGTGGCTGAAAACCGTCCGGTCCTGCACCGTACGTGTAGTAGAGTCTCTCGGCACTCTTATCTACACCGGCCAGCAAATCCTCCGAGTCCGACTCCTGCTCCAACGTCTGCGCCGGCTCTGCTGGCGGCGGGGGCACATAGTTGTAAGGATGAAGTGTCTCGGCTCTGGGACCAAAAACCTCACCAACTCCCTTCGGACGACGAAAACCCTGCTGCTGGAATCGACAGACCTGTGCACTAACCTCGTGTGCGGCCACTGCCGACTGAGGTCGGGCTCCCCACACCTCTGGCTCAGGCTCCTCCTCCTCATCCCTGTCGTCGATCGGGACGTCTATGTACTCGTCAGAGCGCGCCTCAGCCAGGGTCGCCATGTGGCCCCACGGAAGAACGTACCCCCCGCTGTGGTCGCTGCATCCAAGTAGTTTGAGATTGGTAGCAATCTCAACTAACTGCGCGACCTTCTTGAACTTGAGCTTGTTGCGCTTGGCCGTGTGGATGCGCTCATGCTCTGCCCAATTCCTCTCAGCAGGAGAGGCGGACGTCCACATGTGCATCACACGGCCAGCGATCTCCTGCAAGTCCGGGAAGCATGCGCCGTGCTCCACCCACCATGACGCGCACCTGCTTGTCTCCTCGATCCCTGCACAGGCCTCCGCCTTGGCGTCCCTCGTCACCCTGTCCGTCGTGTGGCCGACCTTGGAGTGGAAGGATCGCATCTGCTCACGCACCCGCAAGTATGCATCCCCCGCCGCATTACCGCCTGTCTGCGCCAAGAAAAACGAGTCGCACTCGGTAATGACCTCGAGGTCCGCAGCTGTCCTGCGGGCGGACTCATAGTAACGGAGGGAGCGCCTGCGGGGGTTGAGCAGGTGCGCCGCAGCGTGCGCCGGCTCAAGCATATGCATGGTGCGGATCTGCACAGCCTCCGCATGTCATCAGGGACGTCAACAGCAGCCACCTGTCGCACCAACTCCTGCGACCATGAGTAAATCATGGACATGATCATGCTGCCCCTGTCCAATCTCCTCAACAGCTGGTGGACAGGGGTCATGACAGAGACAGCATGCTGAACGTTGCGCCAAAAATCGGCGCACCGGATGACCTGCCGAACCCAGAGAGCCTGTCTACGCTTCGACGACTCCCATGGGATCTTGTCCCAGTCGTCGTCATGCAGCATGCTCTCCAAGGCGTTACGCCTGGCGAGCAAACACACAAACATAAAAAAATGGACGCGAATTGCGTCTCCACAGGGTGCACAAGCGTGCGGCGACGACTCTTCACCCTGAAAAGGTGATAAGCCGCGTCGTGCGATTTAATGAATCGCACCAATGCTCGAGCTCTAACAATGGTCTCCCTAACCCAAGGAACCCCTGTGCCGATGTCAGACAACATCAAGTTGGCCACGTGGGTGGCACAGGGGAGCCAATTGATACGGCGGATCCCCAGATCGGGGTCCTTTGCAAGGAGCTTTGCGGCAGACGTATAGTTCGACGCAGAGTCCGTGCAAATGGCCAACACGTCCTTCGGAGGGAAAAACCGAAAAATGGCATTCCATCTCCTCAGGACGATCCGTGTCGTCTCGACCACTGAACCGTCTCGCTGGACGGTGGTGTACAATAGGGCGCCGCGCTTGGCGGCCGCAAGGAAGTTGACGATAGGCCTCGCGTCTCGCGATTGCCTACCGTCCGACAAAATGGTGGCCCCCACCGACTCGAACGAACCACGGACCTCCCTCAACATCGCGGCAACCTTCCCCCACTGGGCTGCTGGTCATCGATACCTCCACCCCCAATGTCCTTGACGGACGGATAGACAGGCCGCACTCCGCGAGACATGGCGGTCAACGCCTTCTTGTGCCTATACCATGACCGCCTCCTTAAAGCAGCAAATGGTATACCACTATCGTAGGCCCACTGCAAAAACGTGTCCCTGAATGCGGCCTGCCCATCTGGATCGTACACCTCATCCAGAGTGGACTGCCGCTGTCTCTTGCGCACCTGTGGCACGCCCTCAACTCTACTGCCCACCGGCCTCTTCCCCACTGCGCCCGGTGCGTCCCCCTTGTGATGGACAGCGGCACTGCTCCCTCGCGCAGTCATCACCACCTTCTCCCCCGCCAAATCCGGTGTTGCACCTGTCCCTCCACCCTCCCTGGCCTCTGCTCGCCTGGCCTCCTCATCCAGGAACTCCTGTACATCATCCACAGGATCGCGCTCCTCTGGTTGCGACTGTGACGCACCCGTCCTTCCCCTGCCACTGCCTCGCTGGACGTCCACAGCTCGTCTATCCGCGATATCGTGCTCCCTCATGTACGCCACGATACTGCGGTGATGTCGCTTATCGAACTCGTAATCCGTGTGGTTCCAAATGTCTACAAAGACGTCAATCGTCGCCGCCGCGCACCTCTTCAACTGCGTGAAGTGGCGCTGTGCCTTGAACAAATTCCCTTGCAAGACATGCTTGCAATAGTTGCAGTGCAACTTATAATCCCCATGCCTCTTCTCCCATGTTCCCAACCTCTGACCCTGCGTCACATGACGCCACACTCTCGACTTCCTGCGCAACTCGTCCATCTGCACATCGCTCGCAGGAACGAAGTCAGTGCCCCCCGAACCGCCGGCACCACCTGTCATTTTGGACGTCGACGTCCGTAAATTCGTCTGTTACCACCCACCACCCCCCCCCACCCTCAAACAAGACCCCCGCCGCAGCTGATGAGACCGTGCGCTGGATGCCGCCGCCGGTACCTGAAAGAAAAATAATAATAATAATAAAATTTCATCAATCAATCAATCAATCAATCAATCAATCCGTGAACACACACACACACACACACACTCTTTCTCTCTCTCTCTCTCTCTCCCCGCTTTCTCTATCTCCATCCGATTTTTCTCTCTCTCTCTCTTCTCTCTCCCCCCCTCTCCCCCCCTCTCTGCGCTTTCTCTGTCTCTCCCTCTCTCTCTCTCTCTCTCTCTCTCTCTCTCTCTCTCTCT